CCCGTACGCGCTTGACTTTTTGGATGTCGGTTGTTGGTGCTGAATGGAAACCACAAAGAAACACAGCTTGATGCAAAAGTGCATGATACCGGGGACTAAACGTTTCGAAAATGACCCTCGCAGAGTGTCCATGGTCCACGCCTTGAAGAGACGACTTCCATCCGTGCTTTTCGTTATCACGACCGGGAAGATCTTGCGATGTTGTCACGGCGGGATGGAGCTGAGCTATCAGCCCAAGTTGTTGCTGGACTCAGAATACCGGGTGTCCGCGGCAAGCAGAAAGTAGTATCCAGAAGATACGGTGCATGGGCTAGGATCGTTCTCTACCGCCGCATTTCTCTCCTGCCCCGGAGGGATATGCAGCGTCTACATTTCCGCAGCCTTAGGGTTAAAATGTGGTCCTATCTCTCCGACTGTCACCCGAGGCAAGAATACGGTAGGGTTCTCTGCACGATGCTTTAGAGCGACGCAGCGCGATAACATCATCGACAGGAATAAACTCGGATTCTACCGTTTCGGGAACTAAACAACTAGTCTAGCTGACTAGGTAACATTGCCGATGTCCCGTGGAGCTGGGTAAGGTATAGCTGCCCAGAGGAAAAATGCGGAATCGCTGCCGCCAGAACTCCATGAAGAAAGGTCTAACCCGTTGATGTGCGAGACCCCCCGATCGAGCGCTACTTACTCCGTATTGTGCGATTGGTGCGGGAAGGGGGAGACTACCCTAGAAAATATAATGATAAGTCCCTCTTCCAAAATAAATGAGTCGTTGTGTATGAGGAGAGAGGGATAGATAGGTGGTGGTGTGTGTGTGACTTCCCGACGGATTCGTTCTACAGGCGTGTATTTATTCCTTCCAAAAAATACATAAGAGAGAATTCACACAGCAGTTGTATTACATAACAGCAGAGCAATGAGGCTGCGTTGGCTAGACTGCACAACAAGAGTTCATGTTTTGAAAACTAAAAAGGTGCGCCAAGAGATCGTGCAGGCAATTAATTGATGCAGGAAGAGATCCGTCCTCTCGTCTCTACCGGCACAACCACACAGCACATCATGCCTCCCACAAAATAGGAAATATGGAGAGATATCGCACAGCAGTAGAGCAACAACAGCAGCCCCGGCAAGGCCGTTTCTGGCTACGAAACAAGAGGGAAAAAGTCAGGGTGGATGCGCTGTTCATCGTGTTGAAAAGTAATTCGGGACATACGCACATACATGTGGGTGCATACTATGCGGGGTGTTCTTGCCGTGAAAACAGAAGAATTCATCGGGAAGAAAGACCCACGATAGATCTCGGCGCCTTCCTGTGTGCAGCACACGTCTCGCGCATCATGGATGGANTCTTCATCCCGTCGCTGCCGTGGCGCGGTTGGTCGGTCGGTCGGTCGGGTAAGGTTTGCGTTTTGGGTTGAGTTGGGTTGGGTGGGGTAAGGTGGATTTGGTCAGTTGGTTGGTCGGGTTGTGTTTTGGGGTCGGGTTGGGGTTGGGTTGGAGGTAGGGTGGGTTGGGTCGGTCGGTCGGTCGGTCGGTCGGTCGGTCGGTCGGTTGGTTGGTCCGTCGGGTTGGCGTTGGGTTGTGTCTTGAGTTGGGTTGGGTGTGGTACTAGGGCAGGGTAGCGTAGAGTAGGGTGGGGTCGGGCGGTCGGTCGGTCGGTTCGTCGGTTGTTGGGTTATGTTTTGGGGTAGGGTTGACGGGTTTGGTTTTTTAGGTTGGGTTGAGTAGCATAGGGTACCGTAGGGTAGCGTAGGGTACAGGGTTGGGTCGGTTGGGGGTTGGGTTGTGGGTAGGGTAGGGTAGCGTGGGGTAGGGTTGGGCCGGTCGGTCGGTCGGTTGGTCGGGTTGTGTTTTGGGGTCGGATTGGGTTGGGTTAGCGGTAGGGTGGGGGAAGTCGGTCGGTCGGGTCGGTCGGTCGGTCGGTCGTTTGGTCGGTCGGTCGGGCGGCCCGATTCGTGGTGACTTCCTAGCGGTCGCTCGGCTCCTCCTGTACGTCACTGCGTCATTTCTATCAACATGTTTCTAGCAGAGTGTTTATCGTCCATCATCCTCGACTTCAGCAGACGAAAATTCACCCGTCCGAGTCCGGTTGGTTTGAATTGGGTTGAGTCGGGTCGGGTCGGGTCGGGTTGGGTCGGGATAGGTTGGGTCGGTTTGGGTTGGGTCGGGGTTGCGTTGGGTTGGGGGTGGGTTAGGTTGGTGCGAAGGTGTACCGATTCAGGTAAAAGTTAATCGACGAAGAATACCCTGCTAATCGGGTCCTCGTTGACAAAGTCAGCGCTAAGTAGACTAATGGTTTAACGTTTGGCGATAAGAGCTTCACGCACGGGTTCCAATCCCGGCTTCTCTCTTTCCCAAGTGCCATTTAGTTCTTTTCAGGCAGTGTCTGGCGAGGGGTCCGTCCCCGGAGATCCCTGCTCTCAATAGGGCAGTGAAACCCAAGTGATCCTGCCGCTGACGCCATATGCGAAGGTGTACCGATTCAGGTAAAAAAAGTCAATCGACGGATATCCTGCGAATCGGGTCCTCCTTAACAATGGGTTGGGTTGGGTTGGGGTTGGGGTTGGGTCACCGCCGTCGGACGTGCCTCCGTCGCTTCGTCGTTCGTCAGCGTTGGGTAGGGTTGAGTAGTGTTGGGTAGGGTTGGGTTGGGTCGGTCGGTCGGTCGGCCGATCGGGCGTCCTATCTATCTTTTTCCGCAGCGTATCTACTTGCTGTCGCTGCTTCGCCCGCCCCAGCCCCCCTCGATTTGCCTTTTTTGTTCACCATCCCACATGGCGTCGCCCAGCCTCACTCACCCCCTGGAGCGTCATTCTCTGCATCTTATCCCTCCCCCCCCCCGTTCTCCTCGGTGTTTGCCATCGAGATTGGGTTTTCGTCGCTTGGCAACGACGTTGTAAAAGAAGCCCATTCACTTCGTGAGCTCGGCAACCAGGTTACAGTTTTTGGTTTTTACCTCTGTTTGCTTTTGGCGGTAACCATAGACTAATGGTGGTCGAGTGGATCATGTTGTGCGGGGTCGAGAACCCTCACTGCGCGTAAGGGGGATGATCGCACCACGTTGTGTTAAATTGGTCAAGCACCCTCGAGGCAGTTACCCAGTGCTAATNTGTTTGCCATCGAGATTGGGTTTTCGTCGCTTGGCAACGACGTTGTAAAAGAAGCCCATTCACTTCGTGAGCTCGGCAACCAGGTTACAGTTTTTGGTTTTTACCTCTGTTTGCTTTTGGCGGTAACCATAGACTAATGGTGGTCGAGTGGATCATGTTGTGCGGGGTCGAGAACCCTCACTGCGCGTAAGGGGGATGATCGCACCACGTTGTGTTAAATTGGTCAAGCACCCTCGAGGCAGTTACCCAGTGCTAATAACTGTCTCTGGAAGTGAAAGCACCATAAAATAAATTAAGTCATACGCAGCTGTAATCCGTGCGTAAGGAAGTAAGCACAAGGTGCCGAACACCGAACACCCTTAGCAGGATGCAGCGCACCCTTCATGCGACTCGCCGAATATCTCACGGCGCTTCGCGCTTGGTGATGTGAGAGCCTGGTCCGGTGAGAACCCGGCGTGCTCNCCCCCCGTTGATTCCGGTTTTTTTCCCGACAGACGCACTACTACACATCCCCCCCGGCGCTCAACACTTACGCCATCGTGCCGGTGGGTCTCAACGCCATCGTGCCGGTGGGTCTCAAATTCCTTAAGACTCTCGGGGAGCCCCACGATCGCGACAGAACTTTCTGAGCAAAAACAAGAGCTCCTTCACATATTTTGCTTTTTCGTGTTTGTTTCGCAGCAAATGATCCTGCCACGGTTGTCTGGGAGTTAAGTCGGCGCTGTAGAATTTCAAGTTTCGCTTCCTTGTGGGTGTATTAGGATTACACTGAAAAGCACAGCAGACCTCCAGTGCTCCCACGACTGCTGACCAGAAACCCCGTCTGCGATTTGAGAGAAATGAGTTGCGTCGTCTAGTGATCCAGAGAGGAGGATGAACAAGCCGCGGCAGGCAGCAGGGAGAAACTTCCCACGATCTGTGGTGGGTGTGGAATCCCGTGGTCGGGGCAGAGCGGGAGAGCAGAGAAGACATCAAGAGTCGGAGAGGTCCGCCGTTCGTGTTGTTCGCGATGGCTTTTATTCAAGTAGCAGCAGCAGACGGGATAGGTGACGCTTTCTGGTGCGTTTGGGAAGGTAGGAGAGTCAACCCTTCACCGTTGAGCGCTCTACAGCGGAGGCGGAGTGTGGCACCTGATAGATCCTTGAACACCCATCCATTGTATTCCCCTGTGTGATTTCCACCGTCCGGGCGTAGTCAATCGTGCGTTTGATAGTCCAAATACTATTGTGTTTTTTGCCGCGAGATGTCAGCTTCGCTCGAAAGATGAGTGGGCATCTTATCGGTTTTTTCTGTCTTGTTTCTGTATCGCTGTTTTTTCTTTGTTTGCTGGTCGGTGCTTACTAGTAGCATGCGTGCGATGGCCACGCAAGGACAGGGGACGGGGTAATGCTGAGGCGAGAGGGTTCAAATATTTCCACGCGCGCTACAAACTGCGAGGAGAGGCAGCCCGTCTTAGGGGGGGACGGGCATCGATGATGACAACGGAAAGAAACACTCAACATAACTCACGACACCTCCCGACTGTTCTTCTGGTTTTCATGCCGAAGTCGGTGGAGTAAATACTCGGAGCCCATCTTGTTACCACAGAAGTAGACTGAATCAGCGTTAAGAAAACTAGCACTGCCGAGCATGTGGAAAGGCTGTCTAGCTTGGAGTTTTCATGGCATTCACGAGAAGGATGGCGCGTGCACAACACAAATGCCAAAGTAGTTCACCGAACCCAAAAAGGCACGGCTTTCGCCCTCTCAATTCTCTCGTTGGTGTTCGGCGGAGTCGCGTCTTTGTGCATGATGTTGTGCAGGAGCTGCAAAGGTTGTACCGCGAAGGGACATCGTCGGGAATACATCGGCCCAACGCAATACAACAGTAGCGATCAACGCACGTCTTGGGGTCAAGATGTATTTCTCGTGGCCAGCGTTGGAAGCGAGACACGTTTCGCACCTGGGAGCAACCGTTTGGTGACATCAACCACTGTAACTACAAGTCAGGCTTTTCCTGACTTTGTTGTCGCAAAACGCGGCCGTTTGGCGACATCAACCACTGTAACTACACGTCAGGCTTTTCCCGACTTTGTTGTCGCAAAACGCGGACTCCCACATCATTCTGAGACGCGAGCACGACGTTTCTTCTCGTTATACAAAATACATTTCAGGTCTCCCCTGCTCACCGTTCCAGTTGGAACCTCAATTTCCTCTTTGAAAATGATGATCACACGCCGAGGAGTTTCACCAGACACGGGCCAAACCAAGGGCAATGCGACAAAATGATCCGCCCACAGTCAACGAAGAAGTTAACGTCTAGATGACGTTGGAAAGGCCGGCCGGCGCAATCAGGACGCTGCTGCTAGTAGTGCTGCTGCTGCTGCTGCGACCTGCCTTCTAGCTCTACCCACGAATTTCATTTCACGCCAAATTCGGTCTGACTGCTGGCTTCACGACCACCACGGCTTCTCCCCGTTGCGGAAGTCCACCTCAGTCCTGGACAAAAGGGGGCAAAGAGTGCAGAGAAACGGCAGAGGGTCAGCAGCCGCAAACACGGGTCCACTTCAGCTGGCGCGCAACCCAACGACGCATCGGACGAGAAAGTAGGGCTCTTTAGCAATAGGGAGCGTTGGACAGGGCGGCATCCTCAAAATATGCAACATGAACCGGGCACGTGGGTGGGGCGAGTGAGGACGTGGACTGAGTCTAATGACGAGTCTAGTGACGATACAGGAGCGACAAGCAAACTGGTGACGCCAGCAAAGCACTACCATTCTTCCGGATTCACAACTTACGACTATGATCTTGGATCCAAAAAAACAATATTCATGAGGAGGTACCAACCCCCGAGGTGTTGTTGCGGTTGCTGTTGTTGCCATCGCTATAAAACCGCCCGGATCTCCGCAGTACCTTTTATTGCCAGTACTGGTCCAGCTGATGCGGTCGACCTCTGTGGCTACTAGGTGTTGCACAAGCATGAGAAAATCAAACGTTCTCTCATAACGGATAGATGGAGCACCCGACAAACGTCAACCCACCAACTTTCGAAGAAAACCTTGCCACCGGTCTCCCCGACGTGCGAGAGCGCAAGGGGTAGGGGTGCAGGCCCCCTAAGAACCTGCGGCACACACAGTAATTTCCCGGCAGGCACGGGCAGATAGAAAGAAATAATGCAGACCACAACCGCTGTTGCCAAACGTTACCACAGGGGGAGGCATGAGGCCAGCAAAGAACACCAGCCACCACCAGCGGAGATTGGCAACCATGACCGTGCGGATTTCTCTACGTGCGCCGCGAAGAGTTTGGCAAGGGGAGTAAGAAATTTTGGGCGAGGCACATCCGTACCGGACCACAGTAGTGGTCAACAACGAGATAACAGGACAAGGAAGTACGGGCGGGATCACAGACCGGCGCAGGAGGTCCCAGCCAAATCTAGCACTTACCTTGGAATGTACGGCACAGCGAAATGGGAGGAAAGCACCGAAAGGAACCAGGGGGGACGTGGCTATGCGCTACATGAAGGTCGACTTGCCTTTCCGGTGGAGTCGTACATAGAGTTGTGGCACGGGCAAATGAACTTGTTTTCGTCCTCGTACCAGGGGACCAAGCATCCCAAGTGGGTGCAGACCGCCACGATCCCGTAGTCCTGGATTTTTTTGTCCTCCGTCACCATCAAGTAAGTCGCATCACCCTGCGAAATGTAGAAAGACGGTTCAGCACAGAAAAACAACTTGGTGGCACAACTGCATCGGCCGTTCGAGCCGCAACAGAAACTCTTTTTCACCCTGGGCAGATGTAGCTAATGATAGGTGCACCGAAAGGAGCTTGCGCAAACACAGTATGTTTCGGAGCGATGTTTTCCTTCCCAAAGCCTATGCATGCGACATGACCACCGCACGCAGCGCCGGAAACGTGTCATCTGTTTGCTACGTCGAGAAGGCTCACTCCCGAGGCTTCCAGGGGATAGATGACTACATGGAGTGGAATCAAACATTTCACCACAACATGACCCACCGTGGGTGTCTCCGAGACAAGGAAAGCAGGTAGCTGCACATCTACCCATCCTTGCGAAGAAGGAAGTCGTAGCGACTTGTCCACGCAACAAAATTTCAACTTTGGAGCGGTTCTCAAGAGGAAGGCACGCACCCACCAGGCTCGTGATCCGTCGCCCTCACAATCGCTGGAAATCTAGCAGGTGCTAACAAATACGGGAATAGAACTTCGAATCTCAACATCCGACAAATTTCGGGTGCGTGCGTGTACCGGGCATGCTGGACAAAACACAACATCTCTCCGGGACATCCGTGGAGGGGCACGGGATGCATCGCGCCAACAAGCCCTCAGCGATGGTGGAGGCGACATTTCTGTCTTCTCCGCTCGGAAAATTTGCGTTCAAGACGCTCAACTACACGCTAGTGCCAAACCAACGCTGGGCCGATTTCAAGAGGAACACGGGTGGCGCTATCGCTACACCTCTGGACATTGCTCAAACCAAAATACGAGACCCCTTCGTTTTTCTACGCGACCCGTTTTCATGGGGCTAAAAACACCACGACAAGGTCGAAGAATGCCCACCTTGATACCCTCGGCGAGATCCCGGGACCCCGCGGTGTGCGTCGCCAGCCAGCTTTTCACTGTGACCTCGTTTCCGTCAGAATCTTTTGCGGTGACCCTGCTACCGCGGCCGCTCTCGCTTGGGGGCACGAAGAACGAAAGGTACGGCACTGCCAGGCCGAAGACGCTGACGCCGACGGACCCCGCAAGGATGAGGTTCATGGCCGTGCGGCGGTTCATGTCGGGCACGAAGTCGTCCTTGTTGGCGTCCATCCTCACAAGCTTGGTTGCCGGTCTCGCCGAGGTGGAGATCTTGGGTATTTCGGGGGGCCACGGGGAGGGGGGAGACGTTCGCAGGTGGCGTTACGCGAGATAGCATAGAGGTCCTCATGGTGACGTCACTTCTGCACCAAACAAGGGTAGAGTGATTGGACGCGGCTTTCGCAAAAACAAGCCCACGAGATGCCAAAAGCGCAGCGTTTTGGCCGCCCCGGTAGATGATAGGGTAAAAGTTGATACACTTCGATACAGGGGTCAGGATCTCAACGTGTTCAGGATCCCATCGCTCGATCATTTGCTGACGTTCCGACGCTGAACACCTTCTAGACTACACGTCGTGGACAGCGCAACGAAGCTCTGGAACCCCTTTTCCATCCGACTGCGGCAATATCTGTACGTGGGCGCATTGGCCAGAAAACCACATGGACAACTATCGAATCAGCTGATTTTCGACGAGCTCTGGTGAGGACGACTTCCAAGCGCTTGCAGCTACAAGCAGCCCTCTCGGAATCAACCGGGGCGAAAGTTCGAATGGCAGGTTGTCTAGACTACAGTAGCGCAAAAGTTTTTTCATTTGCAAACTGAAAAAGAGGAGCTTATTTCCTACGTCAACAAGTGTAGCAAGGTTCCCTTTACAGTCGACCCCGCTTTAAGGAAAACAAGATTAAGGAAACTCCCCGGGTAAAGGAAACAATTTGTCGCCGAAACACAATACCCCGCAAAATGTAAAATATACGGGGGATCCATATTCTAGTCCGTGGACCCCCCTCAAAGCACGTTTTCAGCGTACCCTCTTCGCCAGCAGAGAGGTCTGCTGCTTCACCTGCTGTCTGCGGTATACGAAGAATCGTTTCACCTACCGGTGCGTCCGCTGCACCTGGGTTAAAATGGTGTGGGGAACCCACGTGCAAGATCACGAAGCTCGTGTCGGGTATCCACACATGCCCGTGCGGCACGCGTTTTGTGGTCGCGGCATCGGGAAGGAAGGCTACGGACAGCAGAGGGAGTGCACGGAATGTCAGAAGTCGTAGCGTTGAGTGTTGCGGTTTGTCGGCCATACGCCGTATTGTGTGCTTGTGTCTGAATGGCGCTCCAGTAGAGAGTAGCGCAGGAGAGTTGTTGCGTGCGCTCCCCCAGGGGTAAACAAGAGTCACCAGGTGAATTTGAAGTGTCCATTAGGTATTTTCCGTGCCGTGTGGTGGTGTTCAGCAATAAACAATTATTTTCTCGCCGACTCCCAGGCTCTTTTTTTATTCCAACAATGCCCTGCCCAGGGCGCACCTCTTGATGTATGTACCGCCACCATTGACCCCGGGGATGGTGCGTTCTGATCCCCTGAAGTTTAAGGGAACTTCCCCGCGTTAAGGAAACATTTTTCGAAGCAAAACCATATGTTTCCTTAAAGCGGGGTCGACTGTATTTAGTACAGTACCAGTATGCTTAGTACAGCATCGAAACCCGTACTAATGTCCCAGTGCAGTACAGTATGGGAGGGCTGAGGACTGTACTCAGCCCAGTATAGTATGGCGTACTGTACTACTGTTGTTTTGAGTACAGTATGGAGAGCTGTACTAAACGTGCTATTGCGCTCGGTACAGTACTGTACAGTATGGAGACCTGCAGTAAGAAATATACTACTTCGCTCAGTGCAGTATGGAGAGCCGTACTGAACCTCCAGTACAGTACAGCATGGAGACCTGTACCAAACGTACTGTTGTTGTGAGTACAGTTGTTTGCTGTTTTTCTCCCATTATTGGACTCTTCTGTCGTCTGCCCCTCTGGCCCCTATCCTCCACTTCTACCTGCAAGAAGACCCAACCGGGGTCACGTAGGAGAGGGGGGTTGGACCCCCTCCTGCAGTTCCTGCCTGATATATTTTTATCGCGAGAAGGGTACAGCAATCCCTTCCCTCACGACTTACGAAGTCGATCAAGTTTACCAACGACGAGCTTTGCAGCGCGTCGCTTCCAACGGAGACCAGGATTCAAATAGCGAGAAAAAGCTCACTCTGTCGGGACTCGAACCCATGACCTGGCCCTTAGTAGGCTGCGAGGTTACCCACTACACCGGGGCGACCGTATGGCAAGCTGTATGTTGCGGTTATTTAGTCAAGTAAGTATGGAGAGCCCTAGAATAAACGTACCCTTGCGCCTAGTACAGTACCGATAGCCGTACTTGCAATATGAATATGCATATGCATGAAGCACCTGCAACAGCACTCTCAGTTGAACATAAACATGGATTTTAGGTACACGCTGCTCGGAGCAGGAGCGGGACTGTATGACGAGACTGTACTGATAGTGTGCACTGCCGCCCTCAGCGGTTTATGGTGTTGAGACTGGGTGCTATGTTATCCCAGGAACAGCAGATGAAGAAAAGGACTATATATATTTCTCGTCACGCAAGCCCCTCAGGCAAGCTGGTCACCAACACGCAAGCCCCTCAGGCAAGTGCCGGGAGCACACCGCCGTGTGCTCACCCGGAGGCCCCGCACTTGGACCTCAATCGCATACATACCCATCCAACCCATATTTCCCATACGCGTATCCCCCACAGAGGATGCACAGATCGGACTCATATCCAAGTACCACAAACAGCCCCCCTACTTTATACGATGTACGATCTTGCAACCCTTCACGCGCAATCAGCCAACACAGAAAAATACCCCTTGAGAAAACTTACTCAACAAACCCGGCTACACATTCAACACAAAGCGTCTCCATCCATCAGTTTATTCACGAATCCAACGCATTCGTCTCTGGAAATAATCTCAAACCGTTGACACAAAATAATCATCCTCAGCAAAGGTACCCAACAATTATTTGTGGTACATCAGAGAGGCGGCGGAACGAAAACGGATACTTCCGGAAAAACAACTTTGCATGAGTTGGCATCAAATCCTCAAACAACACACAAAATCAACTTCTTGACCAATCAAAACGTAAATTCGGAAAGCACAACGGCCCCTGCCATTAATCGTCAAAACATGTCAAATCCTTCCTCCAATACAGTGTCCAAGGACCAAATCCTAAACAGCGCGCACCCGCTAATCGGTGCCGTCGCTGTTGTCCAAGAAACGATAGAAAACGTAAGCAAGCATCCACGCAAACAGCCCTGCTGTCAGCTCCCAAAATTCACCCCGAGCTAAGATTTCGATGCCTATAGCCCCCTTGCTTTGCCGTTCACCGAACACGCAAGTAGGCGCGACCAGAAAACAAACCAATTCGATTGCTGCTCATGCCCTCTAGAATCATGGCCACACATGACATCATGACATCCCCCCCCATGATTTTCGATGCAAGAGCAGCACAACATGCGATACAAACCAGAACCTGAAAACACGTAACACACAAGGCATCAAAATCCAAAAAAAGTTCGTACCGTATGCAAAGTGTCTCCTCAACTGGAACTCCGAAAGCCCCCCTGCTCCCTGATCGGTATGCCTGCATGCATGTCAAACAACGCGCTATCATCCCATTTCGTGCGCGCGGCTAGAAACACACCGCAGAGAGCGACCACTCAACGCAGGACCTCACATAAAAACCAAAGTATCGAAACATTCTAAGTGCAAAGTGTCCAGTTCGTAGAAAACAAAAAAAAACTCGACTGAACGTACTCCCTCCAAAGAATACGGAAATAGTTTGAAGCATTCAGCTGCAAGGCTAAACGCGACTGAAAATATACCAAGAACCAAGGAAAAAAATACTGCTGTTTCCTATTCCACAGGTTGTGGCAATGACTATCTTGTCGCAGCGTACAATTATTATCATCAAACCAAGTCCAAAAAAAAAAACTTGCGCACACGCCGTGGCATACACGTGTTTTCTGCATCAAAGTGCGCGGTACGCTAGCAAGGGAACAACCGAACAAAAAAATAAATGCGAAGCCAAATGGCGAAGCTAAAACGTACATTCCTGGTCACAAAACCGCACAAGGTCGTCAACGTTTCACATGTTCTCCCACTTGGCTGTAACAAGGTGAGGTCGTCGCTGTCACCGTCTCCTCCCCGTTCCCGGTCGACTCGAGGGCGCCACCGCTGCTGCCGCCGCTGCCATCGCCGCCGTTGCCATTCCCCCGCCGCCACGACCGTCATGAGTTCCAGCGCCAACACGGCTGCCGGTGACGTCGCTGCTGCCGCCTCTACCACCGCCGCCGTTGTCGCCGCTGCCGCCGACGAGGCTCTGGCCGAAGCCGCCGCTGCCGTCTGATGCTGCCGTCGGAGCTCTGGCCGAAGTCACAATTCCCGTCGCTGCGCCTGCTGCCGCCGGTGTCGCCGCCGGAGCTCTGGCCGAAGCCACCACTCTCGTCGCTGCTGCGGCTGCCGCCGTTGCCACCGCCGGAGCTGCCACTCCCGTTCCTGCCCCTATCGAAGGGGTACGCAACCCCTGGTATCGCCCCCCGTCTCCTCGCGCCACACGAAGATGTCTTACCGGGGTCGAAGGGGTGCGTCCGGGCTCCACTCCAGGTGTCATCCAACCCCTTATCCCCGCTCCCATCACCACCGCTTTCCTCGATGCTGCTGCCGCTGCTGCTGCTGCTCAAGTCCCCCTCAGCCTTCCCGGGGTCGAAAGGGTGCGTCGGGGCTCCACTTTATATTCCATCCAACCCCTCGTCCCCGCTCCCATCGCCGCCGCTGTCCTCGCTGCTGCAGCTGCTGGTACTGCTGCTGTTGCTCACGTCCCCCCCAGCACATTGACTATCAGGGTCCTCCAGGACTGGCAATGGCATGGTTATCGCACCAACCGCTTCCTCCAACTCTTCGTCACATACCTCTGTCACCGGTGCCGCCGCCGCCCCTGCGCCCGTCTGGACACCCGACGCCAACGCGGCGATCGGGGACGCCGCTGCTGCTGCGGCCATTGCCGTTATCCCCATCACCGATGTCGCTACCGCCGCCGCTGCGGCCGTCTGGATACCCGACGCCAACGCGGCGATCGGGGACGCCGCTGCTGCTGCGGCCATTGCCGTTATCCCCATCACCGATGTCGCTACCGCCGCCGCTGCGGCCGTCTGGATACCCGACGCCAACGCGGCGATCGGGGACGCCGCTGCTGCTGCGGCCATTGCCGTTATCCCCATCACCGATGTCGCTACCGCCGCCGCTGCGGCCGTCTGGATACCCGACGCCAACGCGGCGATCGGGGACGCCGCTGCTGCTGCGGCCATTGCCGTTATCCCCATCACCGATGTCGCTACCGCCGCCGCTGCGGCCGTCTGGATACCCGACGCCAACGCGGCGACCGGGGACTCCGCTGCTGCTGCCACCGCTGCCGTTTCCCCCGTCACCGATGTCGACACCGCCGCCTCTGCGGCGGTCTGGACACCCAACGCCAACGCGGCGACCGGGGACGCCGCCGCTGCTGCTGCTGCTGCTGCCGTGCCCCCCGTCACCGATGCCGCCACCGCCGATGCTGTTGTCGGGGACGGCGCTCTGGCCGAAGCCGTCCGCACCACCTCCGCTCCCGCCGATGCTGCTGTCGGTGGCCGCGCTCCGGCCGAACCCGTCCGCGCCGCCGCCACTCCTGCGGATGCTGCCGCTTCCGACGAATGCTTGGGTTGTTGTGATTCCGCGGACGGCGAAACAACAACAACGTGATACGATCCAAGCATGTTTTCCTCCGCTGCACGTCTACTGCTCTATCCGTCCTCCATGAGGTCCAGCTCATCGCGTTGCCGCACTACTGCAGGTGCTACACGTGATGTTGCGGGCCGCTCGGGGGAACGAGTGGCGGAGTGTGTGTTTACGTTGAGAGAAGCAATGTTGGCGGGGGCTTTTACCGGCAAATACGCCGCAGACGAACCGGCAGCAGCCCCCCCCTCCTTCTCACCAACAAACACCCCACCACGCACCTGTCCACCTGCATCCCCGGTGAAGCCGGCCGCTAGCTGTTGTTGCCGCGGCTGTTGCTGAGAGTCTACGCCATACACCACGCCTGGCCGCTGCTGCTGCTGCTGCTGCTGCTTCCAACGCACAGACTCGCCGCCAAACTCGCCGTTCCTCCGCTGCTGCTGAAACGTACCAGGTCGCTGATACTTCCAGTAGATCATTTCGTGGTTTGGTGCCAGGCATTTGATGCTTACGTGTCCAGAACGCCCACACCGATCGCACTGAGGAGGCCCATGAAATCGGTTGTACTTCCAGTAGATCGTTTCGTGGTTTGGTGCCAGGCATTTGATGCTGATGAGTCCAGAACGCCCGCACCGATCGCACTGAGGAGGCCCATGAAATCGGTTGTACTTCCAGTAGATCGTTTCGTGGTTTGGTGCCAGGCATTTGATGCTGATGAGTCCAGAACGCCCGCACCGATCGCACTGAGGAGGCCCGTGAAATCTCCTCGGCTCACTGCCGACATAAAACCCACCAGCCGCATGGACATTCCTCCAATCGCGAGTGCAACCCATACCTTGCTGCTGCTGCTGTTGCATCGGCGCCGCACACATGCTGGAGCTTCCGCTGCCGCAACTCACCGGCGCGCTCGCCGTTGCCGCCGATGCTCTTCGTTCCTCTATCCCTCGTAAAATCACTCTTGTTTGGGACCGCCTGCCGCCATCCCCATAAAAACGCTCCGAGCCCTCAGCTCCATAACATGCCCTCATACCCTCGTCATCGCCGAACCAACACCTGGCCTAGCTAGGCTCCACTCTACGATATCGTGTTAGTGTGCACTGCCGCCCTCAGCGGTCTGTGGTGTTGAGACTGGGTGCTATGTTATCCCAGGAACAGCAGATGAAGAGAAGGACTATATATTGTATATTTTTCTCGTCACGCAAGCCCCTCAGGCAAGCTGGTCACCAACACGCAAGCCCCTCGCCGTGTGCTCAANTGTGGTGTTGAGACTGGGTGCTATGTTATCCCAGGAACAGCAGATGAAGAGAAGGACTATATATTGTATATTTTTCTCGTCACGCAAGCCCCTCAGGCAAGCTGGTCACCAACACGCAAGCCCCTCGCCGTGTGCTCAACCGGAGGCCCCGCACTTGGACCTCAACCGCATACATACCCATCACACCCATAGCTCCCATACGCGTATCCCCCACAGAGGATGCACACAGATCGGACTTATATCCAAGTACCGCAAACATGTACAGCTTTCTGCCGAGTAATGACGTCACCAACACGCCCTTTGGTGGAGGTCGGGGAGAACCGGTAGTACAGCTTTAGTACTGAGAGTAGTACTTCTGTAGCGTACGCGTCCAATTCCTTGAGTATGGTATGGAGAGCTGTACTAAACATAATGTTGTCTTGAGTACGGTATTGAAAGCTGTACTGAACGTACTATTGCGCTTAGTACAGCAGTACCGAGAGCCGTACTAAACCCATAGTACAGCAGTACACAGTATTGAAAGCTGTACAAAATGTACTGTTGCGCTTAGTACAGTATGGAGAGCCGTACTAAACCCCCAGTACAGCACAGTATTGTGGGTCAAACCCTGTTCTATGTCTAGACTAGTACAGTACCGGCCGAATATCCGTACTAAACCCCCAGTACAGCAGTACGGTATGGAGACTTGTACAAAGCGCAATCGTACACTTAGTGCAGTATCGAACGCTGTACTTAACGTACTATTGGGCTTCGTACAGTACCGAGAGCCGTATTAAACCCCCAGTACAGTACAGTACGGCCCTATACTTACTGAAATACTGGAAAGTACGTTTAGTACGCACTATACTAAAGGGAAGCTTGAAGTGTAGCTCTCTATCCCGAGGTTTCCACTGACTGCCATTGGCCACGCACGCTACGCATGATACCCTGCATTTGGGGCACCCTTCTTGGGTCGGGGGGGAACGTATAGCTAGACTAGGAGCGGTGTTTTTAGAGGCTTGCTGCGAATCTACCAGGTACCTGTTTCGAGCATTATTCACCTGTCGTCTGAAACACTTGGCGCGGCAAGCCGGTGCGTATCACGCGATAAAGGTAGGCCGCCGCTTGTTTTCGCTGAGTTCGGGCTAGACGTATTTTTACAAGCTGAACCTGTTGCTTCGTCAGCACACAACGGCGAAACTCTGTGCTCAACCGATAACACGCACTGACGTTGCTGTATTGAAATCAGTCAGCACGGGTGAGCCCCGACATCACCGTAAGAACTGAGCAAGTTCACCATGATCTTCGTAGGTGCTAGTTCACAGACTGATCGTTCAGCCATCCAGCCGAGCAGGATGATTTTTGCCCGCAAACTGATCGTGCTACGAGGAGCTCATGAACTCACAATAGACTATATTTTGCGAACAAACACTCACCCTCTGGGCGGTGATCCCGCCGGAAAAGGTGCTGGTGGCTGGAGATACGAATGCATCGGCGCCCGTAGGAGCCATCAACGCTGCGAACGCGATAATCTTGAACATGGTCTAGTCTAGGTGGAAAACTTGGAGGATAGTGAAAAGGGAGCTGTCGGATTTTTTTCTATTTCAAGGTTCTCGAATGGTTCTGGGTTAGATTTTCCGAAGAAAAGGGGCAAGAAAAGGTTCTCTTCGCAGTTTGCCCGTGTTTTCAATTTCCGAAGAGCCTCTCGACGAATATCCCGTTGGATTTGGGGCCAATGGCGAGGTACCTTGAAGGATCAATACCGAGGTACCTTGAAGGAGGCCGGTGTACTGTCTGCCTACAGAGTATAACTTCCGGGGTTCCCCGTCGAATCAAAAAATTCCAGTTGGGCGATTTCTACCAGTTCGAGGCGGAAAAAGTCCAGTTCGGCATTTCGCCGCTCCACACTGAACGAAACGGCTTTTTTTTCGCGACCGAAGAGATGGATTTTTGCGCACCTCCATTTTTCCGTCGTTCTTTTGTCCAGTTCGGATGAACGAAGCATTACAGCAACTACTGCTGTCGTCTACAACCTAAGCAATATTACGTACAGGGCACGAGATAATTAAGAATACACAGACAGGCAGAGAGGCAGAGCACGCTGCTTCGTAGCACCTCTCTCTGTGAGCTGCTGTGCATACCCCCTGGAATCAAATACTAAAAACAGCCGAGCCACTACATGTCACGTGTTCGGCGTCCTTGTACAATAGCCCGAGCCATCTCGGCTCGAGGGAACCCTAATCCACGGGAAACCATCCCCTTCCCCTAACCTTCTCAACCTTTTCGGAGATACATTCTGCCGTAGACACCTCATTCGTAGGTATCATGGAAGAGAGAGCCAGCGCGGAGGTTTCAGGAACGCGACCGATTTTGAGATCTTGAAGCGCTGAACTGTTTGGTTCAGCATGAACGGCCCAACCTCTTGAACTTTGCGGACCAGACTTATCTGAACCATGGGAATCCCCCTGTAGAGTCGAGATCATCACCCAAACGGGCGCGACATTTTGCAATCCATGGATTATGAACGAGAACGACAGTCCAAACATCCAGACGGGTCGAAACCCCTGGGAATCGCCCAGAGCGTCCCCGAAGAGGTTCTCCTCCACTGGCCTGTTGGGGCTGTTGCTGCAGACGAGAGTTCTTCCGAGCAATACGGGCGTTAGATCCAGGCTCCGAGATGATTTTAAATTTGAGAGAGAGTCAGAACCTCTTCGGGGACGCTCTGGGCGGTTTCCCAGGGTTTCGACCCGTCTGGATGTTTGGACTGTGGTTCTCTTTGATAATCCATGGATTGCAAATAGTCACGTCCCACCTGACCCAAACACACCGACCTCCTCCCGCGCTGGCTATGTCCTTATCTTTTCACAAGCTTCGCACCCTTCCACACGAACTTCGACGTTGGCACCGTTGACGAGGGAAAGGGACGGCTGGACCCTTCTCGCNAAGCTCTCGTGAGTACCAAACTTCGACGTTAGCACCGTTGACGAGGGAAAGGGACGGCTGGACCCTTCTCGCGATAAAAATGAAATTCAGCACGCACCGCAGGAGGAACGTGGGGCATGAACAGAAAAAAAAGCAAGAGCCCTGGTGTTTACCCCCTCCTGTGTGACCCTCGATGGTTGCAAACAGACTTACGGGAAAAATGGGAACGTATCCAGCGTGGGCGTGCATTAAGCGATACGCCACGGAGCTCTTCGACCGACCGGGAGCACCGTTTCGCCTCAAAGCCCGCCTGCTCCAGGCGGAGGCAGTGGAGGCACTGCTATACGGCTGCATGACATGGTCCCCACGCCGCAACCACTACGGAATGCTGCAGACGACACACCACCGGCTACTCCTGCGAGTCATCGGCTACCGGCGCAAACGAGGCACCTACCGGCAGCTGTCATACGCCCAGGCGCTAAAGAGGGTCGGCTGCCAGAGCGTGGAGGCCACTGTCCGTCAACGGCGCCTGCTCTTTGCGGGGGCCGTGGCAAGACAGCCGGACG